AAACGGAATATCTAACATGGTGTCTTAAGTAATTCGGCTGGGACCCAGCATTGAACTTCGAGATAAGTGGAATTTCGACTTACCAGGATTCCACTTAACGAGTTTTTACTGTACCTGTGTATTTGAAATCGGCCACCTTCTATATTACAGCTATGGCGGCTAAAATTATTCCTCCCCCCCCCCCCTTTTTTTGGTTCAAACACCGGCTTCGCGAACCTAATTTTTCACATTGACTTCGTAACCTTTCAGGTTTAGAAAGTTTCAATTCCAAATTCCTCTGAATTTATCTGAGATATTACAAAGTTTTACACAATCGGCTACAGGCGCATTTTTTTGGAGCACGCCATCCGCCACGAGGCTTGCTAAGGAAGGAAAGTTTCCTTCTCATACAACGAATGGTGTTTTTGCTATCACGAGAACGGATTTCGCGTTGCACGTGTTCCATCGGATGTCAGTAGAGTCCGTAAAAAAAAAAAACACTTAGACTCATCGAGGTGCGACAGAAAGGTTGTCTTGCCTTTTCCAAGAATGTGTTCATGGTGCTCCTTTCAACGCTTCTCAGACGAACTCTAGCATCCGCGACTTCCTGGATCTCAAACTTCGTGAAGTTCCACTTCGTTGAATTCGGCAGTTCAACGTTTGCTCGGACCTTCAGGCACGAAATGAATACAAATGAGTTTTGCAATTATCACAGCCCACATATTCTATATGACAGAAACTGATACGTAATGTGATCAAAAAGTTCTAAGCCTAACCCTAAGGCACCTCCGGTTTCAATACATCTTTTTTTGTTCTTATGTCTTTCATGATGGCTGGCAAAATTTCGTCATGTTTGTCAATTAAAGAGAGCGTCTATGAAAAATTTTCAATTTGCTACCAAAGGGTCTGCTTAATTCAAATTGAGGCGAATGCTTTTAAACATTTTCTAGCCTCTAAGACAGTGATGCACAACCTGCGGCCCGTGGAGACCTTTTTTTTTTTAGCGATCCCTGGATGCCTTCGGTCTCTAAAAATTCAGATTAAGATGTTGCCCATTTAGGCTCATGTTCGAGGACAGCAGGCCTTCGGACATGGACCGAAATCTCAATTTGGCCTTTTATGGGGAAAGGTTGTGCATCACTGCTCTAAGGAGTCAATTCCCACCAGATCTTTCAGCAGTTCAGAAGATATAGAGTTCTACTGATACTAATGGGGAACATCTGCTGGGAAATTGACTCATTAGAGGTTAAGAAAATCACTACAGCATTCATCTCAATATTAATACATCTTCAGCAGACCCTTTGGTAGCATATTGAAAAAATCAGCATGGAAGCCATCTTTATCAGAAAAATATGATGAAATTTTGCCAGTCACCATGAAAGTCATCTATCTTTTCTTGGTAAGAGTAATAATTGCTTATTGATATTTGAAGCGTCTCAGGTGTAGACATTTTTGATCCCCCCACTTGTACTATACCTTCAAAACAATGAAGAGATCGCTCAACTCGATGAATATTTTCTCACGGAAATTCAGGAACAGGGCTTGCAATTCTAGAGTGCAGTTTAATTGACCGAACCCAAGGACGGCTGGTACGACACCCACAAAGGTTCTTCCTTCTTTCCACACCCTAGCTTCTCCCTTGAATGGAATACAATTTCAAATGAAATCTTCTTTTTGTCTGGCCAATGAAAACGATGAGCTGGACTAACATTGCGAGCCGCATTTTCCAGCCCGAACAAAATGCATTGAGTCAGCCTCACGGTTACTCCGAATGGGAGATGGAGATCCATGAAAGAAACATTCATCATCCTGCAAAATCAGTCGAAAAAGCGATAAACGTTCCAATCGATTTTCAGCAGAGGGAGACAGGATAAAAATCCAAACTGACCCTTCCATGATGGGCCATTGGAAAGTCTTGAGAGGGATGGTGTGGTCGATCCGTTCGTAGATGAGAGTGCGCAAGACATCCACAGCAGCATCCACCAATTCATTCGATTCAAGCTCTTCGGGGAGGTTGGACACTGGGAATTCACTCCCTTCGTCCTCTTGATTCTTCTTTCCCTGTTGGATCCCATTCGTGTCAGATGAATCGATCTTGCAATGTGTGGTGACACTTTTTAAGGTTTTATCACATCGACAACGCTGTATTAGTGAATGTTACCGAGTTATTGTAACGTAGATTTTGTCATGTGACTGTCATTCGCACGACGGTCCTCGCGTCTATGACGGACGAAAACGTTCATGGAAATACTCCCCTTTTCATGAATGTCGATTTCTACTCTGTCCTCACCATCGTTTGACATTATAAAGCTTGTTATCAGAGTCTTTGTTGGATATGGAGTGAATATGACCGACTCCGATTTTGAAGTATGCCACAGATGGAACGTAATAAAAAATGTATTGATAACTAAATTAATTAATTTACCATTTTAACAAGGAATTCATGAACTTCTTCCATTGGATCCATCCATTGGATAGAATAAGAAATTTCATCTCTCCCTAAAACCACTTAAAAATATATATATATATATATTAATGCCCCGAGACTTCCGGTACGTAAGTACTACTTTGATACTTTCTCATTGATGTATATGAAAATTGAATAGTGGAAAACGTCACTCAGACGTCTCTTAAACTGACTTCCGACAAATGCCGGCAAGGCAGAGAGAAATGATTTCGAATTAAAAGTTTTCTTCCTTTTAAAGTTCCCTCAGAATCATCCTTGAAGAGGGACTATGCTATTGCGCTATGCTGCTGCGTTTCCGGTTGAATGCGATTGGATTGGAAACTTCCGGTCATAAGGCGACTGAAGGTTCATATCTAGCAAATTCTCCTCGGTGTCATTGTAGCTTTAAAAAAAAATTGTTGCATAGGTTATTCAACTTTCGATACGCGAAAATTTTCCAGGAAAAGTTGGCATGGGAAACAAGGCTTTCTGTGTCAAGCAAATAACAGAGTAACATGAAATTTCTTGAGCTTCGGATTGCCGTGTAGCAGAGAAAAGATGGGAGCCGGAGTCCTATCACAGACAAGAGAAGGTTTGAAGGCATTCACAAAGCAAGTGAGCTCCTACCAAACTTTTTACCCTTCACTCTTCCCCTCGCAGGAAGTACAGATGCAGATTTTCCAAAGAAACTCTTATTTAGCCCAGACTATTCCATGCATTGTGGATGCAAAGGAGTATGATCAGCAGTATTCATGCGCATCCGTCTGACAACATGTGTCATTAGATATACGAGGGGCTGTCCGAAAAGTTCTCTGTATTGATTCTTAAAATGAGTTACACTCGATGAATCTTTATTAAATTTCGGTGAGCACTGTTTATGTCTAATAATATTCACTGTGAGAAGTTTGGCATAAATTTAGCCACATTTACTCTCGCTGCCGGATCTTGCGAGCAGTCACTATGAACGCCTCTGTCGTGCAAGAATCATTCTCGAAACGACATTCGAGTCATCATCAAGTTCCATGATCTGCTCAAGCCCACACCGACAGAAATTCATTAACTGATGTCAATGGCTTTGGGCCAACACTGTCCAGCTTACGAGACGATCCAGAAGTAGTCAAAGCTCTTCCTTGAGGGAAAGACATACATTTCTACATACCTGCAGGTATGTAGAAATGTATGTAGGTATGTAGAAATTTTTAAAATAAAAATAGAAGCTGACATTCTTGCTTCGTAGACCTACGTGACTAGTCCCAGAGAGTTCGAGAAAGTCCATCGTTCGTGCATCTGCGTCGCGAGATGGACAGAGGATGCCAGATGTGGCATTTTACGAGCTCGGCTAGCAACCCTGCCAACTCTGCCATGGACAGTCGCTCTCTCCCTTTGTGTACTGTGGATACATCATCTGCAAAGGTAGGAGGGGAACTGGAAGTTTAGTCCTCGACTGGCCCCCCAACTCACACTGAAGGTCACTCATGTGCATTGATACGGTTGGCAACTGAGGAGAGACAGAAATAAATGCGAAACAAATATGACAACGAACCGTAATATCTACCAATTTCCCTTAGGTTTCTATGGGAATAGCAGATAAATTGTAATAGCTAGTTTCCCTATCCGAGTCGGTCGACTATCACCGAAATGTAAAAACACGTTTAACAAGCTGAGCGAGCCAAGTCTAGAAGTGGTGTGTCTCATTTCCATTACTGTTGGGAATAGGAAGAAGTGACAGGTAGGTTGGGATACGGGAGAGGTGTGCAAAGCGCCACAGTGCCAATATGACTTTGTAGTTTTTTTTTTAAGTTCAGCTAGCATCACTGTCTCCGCTGCCATGTTCCGCCTATCTCTCCGTTTGTCCACTATGGACTCATCAACTATGAAGGCTGTGAGGAAAGGGTAGTACTGATCCAGGCTGAACACTGTGTATGTGCCTTTGTGATCAAGGGAAGCTGACAGTTACTCATTCTCTCTCTTTCCAGGAAAGGAGGCCCATTTAAACGCAGCTAGGAATCAATTTTCCCCTTTTCGAGTTTTCATGCATGCGTATGGAAATACATAAACTTAATGGAAACTCTTAGGTTAATACAGTCGAACCTCCTTAACGAGAACGCGCTTAGCACGAATTACTGTTACCATGAACTTCTTTCCCTTCCTTACATCTTCTTTCCCCTGTCAACTCAGCATTACAGTCGAACCCACTGAGAACACGAACTCCTTTTAACAAGAATTTAACAAGAACACATTTCAATTCCCCCTACAGTTCGTGTTAACGAGGTTCGACTGTATGATAATAAAAAAAAATTCAGAAGTGAAATGACCGTTCAGATAAATGACCGCGTCCTTTAAAGTAGAGGTAGTGCATGTGTCACGTGGTAAGCTTTTAGTGGTGCTGTCGAGAGATGGGTAGCGTGATTCGTTTGCCGCTATTGTAGCAGGCTGACGTCGGCGTAGGTTCAGCGCCAAGCCTCACGTGAACAGTA